TGGAGGTAAAAGCACTAAGGGGTACAGATGGGCAAAGACATTGATCCCCCTAGGGACCCACCAGGGGCAGGGCTTGGGGGCTGTCTCAGACCCCCAGCTGATCATCTCAGGCCACAAATTGCCCTGTCTGTTCACTCTGTGTGCATATCACCATCATCCATGTGCTGGGAGACATAAAGGTTGGGAACAACTAGGGGCCTGAGTCTGGAGATGGTGGAAGGGAGAGGAGAGAGAGTGGGCAATAGGAAGTGTAGCTGTTGACTTAGAGGATGTCAGGGCTCAAGCTGTGAGCTCCCCATCTGTGAATGGGGAGCTCCCCACTTCTGCAGTAATGGCTGGTGCAAGAGGGGGAATACCCCGTATGCTTGTGGTAGACAGCTCATCTTACCCTTTCCCCACCCTCCATGGCCCTGTTCTTCACACTGCACATCAGTGAATGGAATTTATGTGTCAAACTCACAGATCAGGAAACTAACACATGAGAAATAGGAAATGGCTGTAGATGATAATGAGTTATATGGTTGACCCAGAACTTTGGCCCACATATCCTGGTGCTTGGTGACTGAGCCTCTCCAGGCACCAGAATCTGGCCTTTTCCCAATCTACTCCCTGACCTCTGAGGATAAGTCCCAGTGCTCCTCCCCTCCCACATTCCTATGGGATTCCTCTCTGGAAAGGCCACCCAGTCAGTCCGACTTTTTCAGCTCTCAGTAGACTTTTGAGGCATTAGGTTGTGTCCTGTGGACCACTGCGTTGTCTGCAGCAGCAGAGACGGAGTCCTCTCCATCCTTCGGTGCTGGGCACCAGGCAGCCCTGGCTCCACTGAGCAGAAGCCCTCAGCCCTGGCTGCACATCAGAATCCATCAGTGAATTTTAAAAATGACCAATGACCAAGTCCTACCCGAGACCAATTAATTCAGAATGTCTGTAGGTGAAGCACAGGTAGAGGTATTTGTCTTAAAATCTTCCCAGGTGATTCCAATCTGCAGCCAGGATGGAGAACCATTACACAGGCGAATAACAGTGTGACCTTGAAGAAGAGCCACTAGCTGTGAGCCTCCATGTTGCTTCTCCATTGTTTTTTCCCATCACACTTCATGGTACTGGGGCCACGTGCCTCTCTTTTTCCTCAGTTTTCTATCCTAAGACATGATTTTTACCCCTTTCATCTTTTCTATTCTGTTCTATTGAGCTGATCTTTTTATAGTCTTAGTGTCTTCCTTTGTATTCTGCTTTTCATTTATTTATTCATCCAACATCCAGTGAATGCCTGCTACCACGGGCAATGTACTAGCTGCTGGGATATAGCAAAGAACAAGAAGGCCAGGTCTTGTGGAGTGTATGTTCTGGGATATTTGAAAATGGTATTTCTTTTAGACATACGTTACTGGTCCCTTCTCAATTTTGTCTGTTACTTTTTACTCCTTAATTAAACTTCTTGTTTGATTATAAGCAAAGCCTCTGCCCAAAGGAAGCTAAATAAGCTCAGTTACTTGCATTGGACAATGTTTTACATGTGTGTGTACACACAGGTTTTGTGTTGTGTAAACACAGGAACACTGGCATCTGGATGATGTTTGTGTTTAGAGATTCCTAAGCCAAGCCTCCTTGTACTTCTGTGACTGGGAAAAGTCTTGGAGAACACAGGCTTGGTTAAACCAGTTGTCTTCTTACCTCTGAAGAATACTCAACCAATGAATGAAGATTTGGTGAGGCCCTCTTATGTAGGACGTTGAGCTAGGTGCTCTAGTAGGGAGGGGTTCTGGAGGTGCCCAAATGGCAAGAAGCAAAAGGCCCAGCCTCTCCCTCAGGAAGCCCACCAGGGATATAGGACTATTTCCACACAGAAGGAGTGAGTGATAACAAGGCTATCATGGTGAGGGCAAGTAGGTACTTCAGAAAAGCCATCATTTGGGGCGGACAATTCTCAGGGCATCACTGGAACAAGTGCAGATTATTCTGAGATAGATCGTCCCACCCCTCCCACAATTCTGGTGTGTACCTTCCCCTTCAAGCTGTGGGTCTTTCGTAAAATAGGCACTGATGGGAACCCATCCTGTCCTAGATGATAGGCTGCTGACACATACTTCTGTCACATTGGTAGAACTCACCCAGGAGCCAGGGGCTAGGTTTTCCTTATTGAAAAAAAGAACAATTTCACTTACTGTCTTCTCACAATTGCTAAAACGTTTGACTTATACTTTCTTCCCAAGTCATGGAGCCAATCACAGGCATTGTCTTTAGCTGCTAGCACAGGGAATTCGGCGTAGCTGCATCTTTAACCAGAGGGAAGAACAAACCTGTTTTCTTTTTCTTGAAGCCTAGGGATTTCTTTGTGGAATTGATCTACTGCTGTCTGAGGGAGTGATTTTCGATTTCTTTTTTACTGACCCATATTAAGAAATGCATTTTGCATCACCGCCTGTGACTGAAATGTTTCCCAAAACATCAATTACCCTTACTATATGCAGTGCCCTCAGATATTTTTATTCTATTTAATTTTTTTTAGTGGACTGTGCAGTCCACCAAATTAAATTAATGGGATAATAATAGATCGTAACCCCAGTTTGAAAGACACTCTTCAGCGGCCAGTGCCGCTGTAATCCACGTGGGCCCTGTGGCCAAGGCTTGGTCTAGCACCCCCTAGTGGATTTTTGGACAACAGCAAGCACTCAGCTCCTTCAGTCACCAAGATGCCCTCTGAGGGAGGCATGGATGGACACCCTCCAGGAAGATTTGAATCCATGGGCCCGTGCCTTTCCCAAAAGGAACATCTGCTGATTGTTGCTAACATTTGAAATGGAGCATCTTCCCTCCTGGGATATGTCTTCTTAGGACATTTTAGTAGCAAAACTTGGAGAAGAAAATTTTTTTTTTTTAAAGATTTTATTTATTTATTTGACAGAGAGATAGAAGAGCACAAGCAGGGGGAGTGGCAGGCAGAGGGAGAGGGAGAAGCAGGCTCTGCGCTGAGCAGGGAACCCCATGCGGGACTCGATCCCAGGACCCCGAGATCATGACCTGAGCTGAAGGCAGACGCTTAACCATCTGAGCCACCCAGGCACCCTGGAGAAGAAAATTTTATTAAAAAGTGATGGAGCTTGTTGAGCACTGGCCCTTGTGTTTTCACAGCTGCTAATAGATCACATAGATACTCTGCTAATTAAGCTGATGCATGTGAAGAGCACCCACAGTGCCTGGTAAGAGTGCCCAAGAGTTGTTATTCCCCCACTGCCTCTCAGCTGATGATTCCTTGTTGTGTTGACAGGATTCCAAGATTTCTTTTACCTAAGTCTGTCCTATACCAAAATGCCTCACAAAGGTTGGAAGTATTTTTAAGTCATTTCTCAATGTTTCTAAATATAGAAGAGGTTAGAGGTTGGTGTGTTTGCTAACCCAGCTTGGCCATGGGGGTTGTGCAGAGAAGTATTAAGAGGTAGAAGCAAATGCATGGATTATAAAGCCAGGCTATTTCTGCCCATTTCCCATGATGTGTCCCACCCTACCTCTAACTGGCCCCAGCTGAGTGGAGACCAGTGACCTTTCATTCAATCCAAGTAGGTTTAGGGATGCTCCTCAAAGCTGCTGGTGGCATGGAGGGACTCCTGCCATCCTTAGTAATAGGACAGTAGCTTTGAGCTTTGGGTTTCTTGTTGAACTTGTGGGCAGTTGGTGAGGATAACACGTGTCCGATGTTCAGGAGCATTTATGCCCAAATGGCCCTTGCAAGCCCCTCCCTGGGTATATTTTCTTCTTCCTTCTCTGTATGTATTGCTCTCTTCCAGGCTCTGGAACCAGCCCATAGTCAGCTGGGCCCATTGTAGCAGTGCCCACCCATGCCTGGTGTGACCCAAGCCCTCCGTGCAGCTCTGAGGCTGAGGCTTTGGCATGGCTAAATCAGTGGTTACCCACAAGTCACATTTTATTGAGCAGATGAGAAAGGAAGACAACATTTTAATGTCACAGAGCCAGGAACAAAGGGCCGCCCACTTAGATCTCACTTTTTACTCAAGACAACCAACCTATAACTGTGATTTGAAACATACTGAAAAAATGTCAGCAGATCAAGACCTGAGGTTGAACAATAGAAACCAGCTCCAGACTCCTAGCTGGAGCTCCGAAGTCTGGCTTTCAGCCTTTCTGCCTAACAGTGGCCAAAATGTAAGGATGATTTAAATATATTTGTCCATATTTACCCAAAGTCAAATGTTACTTGATATTTGTGGAAAATATTTGAATTTCACCCCCAAGGCATTTTGGCACCCAGGCTTTAAATTCCAACTCTGACTGCTCAGTTTAGACCCTGCCCCGCATTTCAACTTTGATTGCCGGAAGCAAAATGCTAATTCTGTCAAATGAGTTCCAGTGGCTCACCTCTCTGGCTTGGATCTCTCAACTCAACATGCAGACAATCAGTGTGTGGCGTGCACATCAGTCCAGCACTCCCACAACCCATGGCTTTGGAGGTGGGGCCAGAAACAAACTTTTTTGGATCATGCAGACCAGGGAGCCCAGCTGTGCTCCTCAGACACCGGGGGAAGACATTTCACACCAAGAAATCACATTCGGAGGGGGCTTTATGGTGTACAGTTGTTACAAAGTACTTTCACTCCATTTATGGCTTTTATTTCCATAGCTTACAGCTGAGAAGCTAAGGCCCATAAAGGGACTCACTCAAGATCTCACAGCTATTGTCAATATGGGATTCCAGCCCTGTATTTCCAATCCCGAGCTCCTCCCAGCAGGCCAGAGCCCCGATACTGGCGATTTTTGTACGTCCACGATCCTGGGAAGCCATTTGAAGGGGACTATGTGGTCCTAGTCTTTTGGCGCCTTTGTCTAGAACATGCTACCCATCTTTGACCTATCTACTTTGAGAAATCTTCTGCCTAAATGTTAATACTTATCATTTACAGCCAGCCACTGCCCCCTTTCAAAGGTGAACACAGTAAAATTTATGACAGGCGCGTTATCAGACCACAGGAGCATAAAAGCACGAGGACGAGTGGCAGCCTCCATCTGCACAAGTGATTTGTCCAGGGCTGGGTCATCAGGAGGATTCTGGCATGGGCCTGCAGCCACGCGTCTTCCTCCTGGGGCTGCTCTTGCTTCTGGGGCGAGGTAAGTCTGCCTTTGGCTCAGAGGGCAACCCGTGGGTCAGCCTGTGGGTGTCCCGTGTTGCTTAGGCACAGAGCTTGAGAGAGGAATAGATCTTTCTCATGAGCCCAGAACACATAGGTTAGATGCAGGCAGGCTGGAATGCTGAGGTTCAAGTGCCCATGGCTGTAGGGCAAGAGGCAGATCTAGGGCTAGGTGAGGAGAGCTGACGGGCAATAGCCGTGTGGTGCAGGGAGGCACGAAGACCTGGGTTCTAGTTCTCTGTGCTGTGTGGCCTCGGGCAAGTTCTATCTCCCTGGACCTTGATTTCATCTCATCCCTAAAATGGGGATACTACTATTTATGGGCTTTGCTTTGTTTTTGCTAGAAGGACCCAGGAAGGCAGGCTTTAGGATAATGAACTCCAAAGGATGGCCTACATTCTTTAGTGCTACTGACCCTGACTGAATGGGTGGGCTACCAGTCAGAGCTTTGTATTCCTCCTGAGCTAACAACTCCGAGAAGAGTGTGCTTCTGCCACATTCCTCTCTGCCTCTCTTCTCCTGACCCCGGGCTCTTCCTTCTTTGTTTGGAAAGCCATAAAGATGATTTTTCATCCCCTCCAAATGAGACACCTGGGCCCAGAGTGGAAAATACTTGCTCTCAAGCCCCCAGAAGCCTGGCTGGGGTCCAAGCATCAGTCTTGCTGCTTATCTTGGTCCAAGTCTGTTACCCTCTCTGATTGGGGGTAGACGAGGTGGGAGGGGTGTGTGAGAGTGGGTGCATGACATGTAGGGGTGTGGAGTGCGAGGCCAGTGAGGGGGGCTGGGTGGGGAGAATGATAATGCCTGCTATGCTTAATGCACAGGATGATTGTATTTTCCTGATTGCTAAATGAGGCTGAGCTTTTTTCCTTCATGTTTGATCATTTGAATTCCTCTTTTGTGAAGTGCCTGTTCAAGCGTGTTTCCTATTTTTCTATGGGTTTTTCTTTCTTCCCATTGATTTTTAGGGGTTTTTCACACAGGCTGTGCACTTGCTCTTTGTGGGCGATGTATACAGCAAATATATTCGGAAACTTATCTTTCTGCTCTCTTTATGGAGACTTTAGATGAGCAAAATTCTGAATTTGGGGGAGGTAAATGAAGATTACCCAAATGAGAACAAATGGAGGTGATTTAGATTGCTGAAGCAGGGGAGTCAGCCACCATTAGTCAAATTTGCAGGAGACTTCAAGGCAGGGGATTGGGAAAGCTTATAGTGTAAAGGGGAAGACCTCAGGTGTGTTCTGATTGGAGGCTGTTGCCATGGGGAAACCTGAGGCAGGCTAACGAGAAGCCAGGCATCTTATGTGATTCATTTGGGGAACATATTTGGCTTTCTCTGGTCCTGAGTTGGAAGCAGGAACAAAAAGTAGGGAAGCTGGAATCACTGTTCTAGGCTGATGGCTGTAGGGGTGGTGGTTGGTCTGTTTGGTATTCAATCTCTCTACTTCTAAAGTTTTTAATCTTCTACTCTGGTTTCTCTTCAGATCACATAAATCTTTCACCTTTTACTAGAAGCTTTTTATCTTTTCCTTCATGGTTTGTACCCTTTGTGTCTTATTTAAGAAATCCTTTCCTACCTTACAGTCATAATGATATTACCTATATTTCCTTCTAAAACTTCATAAATTTGCTTTTCTCATTTGGGTCTTTAGTACATCTGGGGTTAGTTTTTGTGACCAGTAAAAGAAAGGAACCCAGTATTACAGTTTTTTTTCCCATGAAAATATGTAGCTGTCCCAGCACCATTTATGGAGAAGTCCATTGTTTCCTTACCGCTGAGAAGAGTCCCATCTGTTTCTATATAAAGGGCTTGGATGTGCTTGTATCTGTTTCAAAACTTGGCTTTATTCGTCTCGTCCATTTGTCCACCCCTGTGCTATTGAGCATGTTGTCTTAATTCTTTTTTTTTTTTTTTTAAGATTTTTATTTATTTATTTGACAGAGAGAGAGATAGCGAGAGCAGGAACACAAGCAGGGGGAGTGGGAGAGGGAGAA